GCTAGTTCATCGTTTAGCAGTAAGGCATTCCCTGGGAAATATCCCACCCTGACTTCACCACCTCAACCAAGCTTCACAATCATCATTGCTGTGTACAGTATTAAATTGTTTGTTTAAAACTTATACTGTGTGTGTGTATGTGTATCTATATATAAAAAAAAATAGTCTTTTGTCTGGCGAAAAAATTGTCCCTGGAACCTAACCCTCCATTTACATTAATTCTTATGGGGAAATTGGATTCGCTTAACATTGTTTCACTTAAAGTAGCATTTTTCAGGAACATAACTACAACGTTAAGCAAGGAGTTACTGTATGAGCACAATTTAGCACATGCATCAAAGATAATTGACAATTTTAAGGCCCCAATCCTGATTTGTGGTTTACAATGCCAAAATAGAGGCCTGGTTAGAGCCAGGGTGAAAAGCTGGGCCTTATTTCATAGTGATCAAAACAAACATCAAGTGACTGTTATCCTATGAAAATGTGTTATTCCATTACTATTATATCTTAAATGTACAACAGAATTTCACCTACATCTTATTTTGCTCATTATTTTATACTTTGCCAGTCAATGTCCTGTCATATCCACACCAGTTGGGTAAACCCAGACCTTACCTGTAATTCTAATGTGCACATTAAAGGTCAGTTTCATTTCTATTATTTATTTAAGGCCACCACTCTGAATGTCTTATTCCTATTGGTGAGCAATTACTCATATTCCTATTGGTGAGCAATTACTCATGTAAGTACTCCCATTGAAGTCAATTAGACAAATTCATGGAGAATAGGTCTATCAGTGGTTATTAGCCAGGATGGGAAGGGATCATGTCCCTAGTCTCGATTTGCCAGAAGCTGGGAATGATGATTAACTGTTCTGTTCATTCCCACTGAAGCAGATGGACCTTTGATCTGACCCAGTATGGTCGTTCTTATGTTCTAATGGGATTACTTGTGTAAGTAAATATTTATCAATAGGATTAAAGGGTTCATAATTTGGCCCTAAGATTGTTAGAGATACACACTTTCTATGATTTGCATTAAAATTTTGATTATAGGGAATGCATAAGGGAGTTCAGTTATTTAATTTGAACTGAACTAAAATCAAGCACACAAATAGGCAGCCTAGATGCAAATATTTTCTTTTAAAAGGTTTCAGAGTAGCAGCCGTGTTAGTCTGTATCCGCAAAAAGAACAGGAGTACTTGTGGCACCTTAGAGACTAACAAATTTATTAGAGCATAAGCTTTCGTGGGCAAGTACTCCTGTTCTTTTTTCTTTTAAAAGAATACTTTACAACGCTTTTTCTTCTAAAGTAAAATCATTCTTTGGTAGTTTGAACCACCCTCTTAAACCGATTTTATGAAAGGGGGAAATATAATGCACTTTTTACTTTAGAACACCAAGAAAACTAAATAAAACAAATTAACATTAATAAAACAACGAGAAATGCTAAAAATTAAGGTTGCTCCAACAATATTAACTCGTTCATGCTGTTTGTGTGTCATATTAAGCATTCCAATTTGTCTTACTAAATGTAAACCATAATACATTAAGACAAAGATACTTTGTTATTTATTTATACCATAAAATATACAGAATTTGCAATGTCACCACCTTAATATTGTTAAAGCAACCTTAAAACAGTTGGAATTTCCTGATTTGAGTTAATGCTGTATTAAAAAACAAATTGAGGGGAGAGGATATGTTTGCATCAGGAAACAACCATTAAAAATGTGTAATATAATAAAATAGCATGTAAAGAAACATATTTAAAAACTTACCTGAACTGCGCAGCCAAGTAAGAGTAAAAGTAGTTTTTTAATTTCTTCAGTTCCTGGCTCTAAAATAAAATAAATTATTGTGGGTGCAAGTAACTGTTCAGATATGATTTCAAATCTGATCTTTCTTTATGAAAAGCTCTTTTACTAAATTGCACATTTTATTTATCAATGTTATTTTTATACAATTGAACATTTTGGCTTAGTTCAGAATAATAACAAATATGATGCGGGAATGTATGTCAAAGCTTTCAGCTCCTTGTTCCTTTGTCTTTTAAAAAAGTAACTTTCAGCACACACACACACACACACACACACACACACACACACACACTACTTTATTACTCAAC